AAAGGAACATCACTCTTGTCTGAGGTAGTTGTGTCTTTTCCTTGGCATACATTAACCAATTGCTTCATGTATGATATTGTCCAGGAAAGTTCCTGACTCCGAGCTGCTGGGAGATCGATTGCAAGATGCTGACTGGGAGTTTATTGCTAATGTTGATGTGAGTTCAAACTATCTTCAGTTTAAATCAAGTTATCATATTCACAGTTACTCCCTGCATTTATGTTTAAAGTCAGAACTCTTAACATCACATTGTGCAAGTGTATTTCCCTTTGAACAAATGTTTTTTTCCCCTTTATTACGTAGTATTAATGTGTAGTTTGTCTTTCTTGAAATGTGTAGTCTTTCTCATCTGTTTGTGTGTTTTCAGCTTGCTGGAATTTAGGTGGGTGTTCAATTAATTGTTGCCTTCAGTTGTTAAGCTTGGTACAGAATCCTAGTTCAAATGCCCCCTTTTTGATTCCATGAAGGTACATGTATGCAAGCCATATCCAGTACATCAATGGGTCAAGACTCTATGTTTTGTTGTTTTACCAATTGAGAGTATCCTTGTTGAATCTCAGTTGGATGGTGAGCGTACAGGGGAAGAATGTCGGCTTCATTGGCAGAATCATTTACATCCATCCATCAATCATGAACCATGGACTGAAACACAGAAGAAAGACTTGATTAAGGTTGCTGCTGAGCATGAATACAGAGACTGGGAACAGATAGCTGAGAAGCTAGAGGTAAGTGAATAGGTGTATCCACAGTTGCAGATATTTCTGTTCCGTTGAACTAAACATCTGTGGCATTTTGCTAGCAACCTCCCTGATGTTCTGAAATCTTCACTTTCAAAGATAATCAGTCGCTAAGCTGTACCTTGCTTAGTCCCTGGAAACCCGCTCTAAAATATGATGGATTTTGAGGGATATGGAAAGGTTGGGGAAGGGGCATATTTTTGGTAGCCTAGTTAACATGTAAGTGTACTGATGACTCAGTAATACAAGCTCAGATTGGATTGGATTCTGGTTCAGATGAACATATTTCGTCAGTCCTGACCGAAGTGTGTACAGTCTATGAGGAATGAGGAAATCTTTGATAAGAGCTTAGGGTTTACATGTATAAGATTTTGGTTATCAAGACAAGGGCTTTTTCCAGTCTTGTAGAGAGCAAATGTGTTGTTATTTATCTATTTAACACAAGCATTTTGACAACTCATCAATCAATGGTCCCATTCACTGGAGGTGCTGCTGTATGAGATGCAGTGATCATGCCTAACCCTGCTGAATCCAACAGGTTCCAACCATTTCACACTGCCAATGGAGCCTGTTGGATTCAGTAGTAAAGGCTTGTACATTTTCATGTTGGATCCAGTTGGATTCAGCAGGTAACTGAATGTGTACACAGTTGGATCTGGTGGGATTCAGCAGGCAACCTATGGAAAGATGCATTCAGTTGGGCCCTGTTGGATTCCCTATTGTGCCTTGTTTTAGTTACAAGTATGCTGGGGACCATCAATAATCAAACATAAACAGCTGCTAGTTAGTCATTAATTACAAGAGACCAGTGTATAAACAATGCTCTCATTTACATGCTGTCAGAGGGATGTACTATTTTGTGGCCAGGTAAGCATCAAGTTATGACTATTCTTTCAGGTATTACAGGTGAGTAATTACAATGTGAATTGAAAAAATGGTTTTGGTATTGTTTTCTACACAATAGAAATGAATATGCTTTAGAAATAAAGGTATAAAACACCAAACTTTTTGAGAATTGTGGCAGTCTTGACTTTGGAATCCACCATGGCACATCGTGAGGCGCAAAAGTTGCAGTTTGGCTTGAGGGGAGAAGAGAGAGAAGTTTTTATTCAAGAAATGATGGGTTCTGCAACAAAGAGAAAAGAAAAGGAGCCAGACTCTCCACCAGCAAAGAAGAAACTGAAGGGTAGCAAGACAGGAAAGGGGAATTTTCCCAAGGAAAAGGACCCTGCCTTCCTGGCAAGAAAAAGGGAAGAAGAGAGACAGACACTCAAGGAAAGTCTGCGGAGAAGTTGTAGGGAGGCGGGGGTGCAAATGTCCAACAAACATTACCAGACAGAAGTGGAGACTTCAGAAAGTGAAGAAAAAGCCTACTTGGAGGAGGTCTTGAGACAGATTGAGGAAGAGGAGAACGTAGTGTGTCGGGAGGAATATGGGGAAGAGGAGGAAAAGGTGGCCAGTATTTTAGAGGAGACCACATGGGATGAGGGTAGCTCACAGGTGGACACTGGTGAGGAAAATCAGGAGGACACAGCCCCTACCGAACATGACACAAATGCAGCAGGGCCATCCACATCGAGACCGAGAGCAAGACAGCCACGACAGAGAAAGGTCTACAAAACCCCGAGGGCCAAACTTCTCATGCAAGAGGACACCTTTGGAGTACTTCCTGCTGTTTTTCCCTGTAGTCCTCTTCTCGCAGATCGCTGCATGGACGAACACCTCTCTGCAGAAGGCAGGGAAAACGGCCCTGACGACGGCTGGAGAGATCAAGGCCTGGCTGGGGATCCACCTTGTGGTGGGCTTGGTGAAGGTTCCCTGTTACCAAGATTATTGGTCCCCTCACCCGGATACTTCAGTAGGCTCATCTCTACCATCATGACACGTAACCAATTTGAAACCATCAGCAAATACCTCACCTGCTCTGACCCTGCAACCAACCCGGAAAGCTACCCCAATGAAAATCCAGACATGTTTCCAGATAAGAAACACCAGCACCATCATATGCGCCATCATCCCCTGTACCGCCTCCAGCCAATTTGGGATGCTGTTCTGGCAGCCTGTCGTACCAAGTTCAACCTGGGGAAACATCTATCAATCGATGAAGCTATGGTGAAATATTCTGGGTTCAAAGCAATGGTGGAGAAGTTCTTTATGCCCGACCAGAAAAGGCTTCAAGTTGTATGCTGTGGCAGATGCCTCATCGGGTTACTTGTCCAACTTCATCACTCATCCTCATTCCTCCCGCAAATCAGCCAAGATGATAGACATTGTCACCAAAGTATCCCAGCCACATCTTCATAACTTCCATCACATCTACACCTATCGCCACCACACATCCATGCCCATTGCCAGACGCCTTCTTGTCAGTGACACTTATCTGACAGGAGCTATCAAGTCCTCCAGTGTCGACCTGCTAGACGATTTCTCATAGAAAATCAAAACTCTAGGAAAGATGCCAAGGGGGACATTTTATTCCCTTCAAAATGGCCAACTCACAGCTACCATATGGAAAGACTCCAAGATCATTTACCTGCTGAGCACTGCACATCAAGGCTATCGATACAAATGCAGAGGCACACTGACAAGAAAGGTGAAGGATGAGATTGGAAGCCGCAGGGGTACCATGATCACAGCTCCCAAGCAGGTCATTGATTACACAAAGCATATGGGAGGGGTAGATCAAAGCAATCAGCTAAGAGCCTACTACACCTGCTCGAAAAAGTCACAACTGTGGTGGAAAAAGCTCCTCTACTTCCTCATTGATGTAGCCCAAGTTAACTCCCGGATCTGCTTCAGCCACCACTACCCTCATATCCAGAGTACCATCGCTGCCACAACCAGCAGCACAGACGAGCTGGAGGAGGCAGAAGACAGTCACCCTTCATCGATGACACACTCAAAATTCATCATGGAAATAGCAACTGGTCTCATCAGCAGCAATGCCAAACAATCCATCCCTCCCCAGTCAACCAGCAGAGGTCTGCCTTCAGGAAGCACCCTAAGCCACAGATGAGAGCGAATGGAGGGGAAGCATGCCTGGCAGTGCAAATGGTGCAGACAGACTGGCAGGAAGAATGATGCAGGCAATGCACCCTCCACACGGTTTGGATGCCGCAGCTGTTATGTCTGGCTCTGTGGAGAGTGCTTTAGGAAATTCCATTGTCACTAGCCACCACAGTCACAGAAATTGCAGCACATACCAAGTAAACAATGAAAAAAACAGCTAAGAAAAAAGATAACAAAGAAAAAGTAAAAAAAGAAATAACAGCAAACAGAGAAAAAGAGGGTTAGGGTTAGTGTTAGAGAAAAAGAAAAGACAAACAAAAACAAGAAAAGAAAACGAAAGGTAAAGTAAAACAAAGAAACAAAAAAAGATATAGTATAGAAATAGTAAAAGACAGTTGTGAGACAGTTGATTTCTGTTAGGCTCAGTAAACAAGTAAAGTCCTGCCAAGTTGGACTCTGTTAGATTCAGGAGAACTAATAAAATGGGCAGTTACATCCTGTTGGATTCAGCAGGCAACTGCACTGTGTGACATGGTTGGACACTGTTGGATCCTGTTGGATCCTGTTGGATTAAGCAGTTAAGTCTCTTGTTTTGATTAAGTCCCCAGCAACTTCCACGGTTGGACTCTGTTGGATTGAGCAGTAAACTAAAATGAGTCACCGTTGGACTCTGTTGGATTTAGCAGCAAAGGCCTTGGGAACCGAGTGTTTTAGGTTCCTGACTGTTTAAGGATATTCTTTATTGGGGCTTTCCTGCTGGCTGATCTAAATGAACAAGATGGACAATGGGCATTTGCGATTCTGTTTCTTTATTTTTGCTACAGTAACATTCTCAAAGTAATTGTCATGTTCTTGGGTAATTTGTATATTTCATTGGTTGGTTAAATTTTTGTTTTCTTGGCTGTACAGACAGGAAGGACAGCTTTTCAGTGTTTGTGGATGTTCCAACAGCTGGATAAAACCTTCATTCAACCGTAAGCAAAAAGATGCGTGTATTAACATTTTGTGTTGTAGCATAGAAAAGTCGTGGTTGGGGTCAGGTCACTTCAAAATTTGAGGGGTAATTTGCAAACAGTCAATGAAAATGTAATCAAAAATGCACAAAAATACAAAATACACAAAAAGTAACAAGATAATACAGGCATGCAACGTTTCCTCGGATCAGCTGATTTCCTTGTGTTTTACTTCACACTAATGCCATGAAAAATTAAAAAAATAAACACTGTACAAAGTAATGTAAAGATTGGAATTTCGTCATTTTTTTGGTCAAAGTTAGATGCCTGATGATAGTAACCAAGCATTGAAATTAATGCTGTGACTAATGGTTGCACTGTGATTGTGAAGTATCCCATGCCTTAATTTTCAAGGTTTTCATATTATTTCACAGGATATTTACCAAAGCAGATGATGAGCTGCTTCTTGAGTTAGTTCAAAGGTTCAGAATTGGCAAAAAACACATTCCATATGCAAAAGGTAGAGTCTAAACTTTTCTATCATATATATTTTTATATTCTTTTTATATTTTGCCCATAACTAATCTAACAGTGCTGTCTTACTTAACAAGAACATGTGAAACATTCTTGAACATATGACCCTCCTTTAGTTCTTTATCAATTATTTCATGAATTGCCTACTCTCAGAGTTTTTGAATCTCTTATTGTGTCATTAACTTTCACAACTTGGTTAACTGTGGTGAATATAGAAATGTAAATTTGCTGTTTTTCCAGTGGCTTACTTTATGGAGGGTAAAGCAGCTCATCAGGTTGCACGTCGATGGGTGAAAACTGTTAATCCATCCATCAAGTCAGGAAGATTTAGTGATGAAGAGAAAAAGGTACAAATAGTGAGAAATTAAATTGGCATGTATTGTTTGAATATTAGAGGTTTTGTTTTATGTTGAGAAATATTGAATTTAGCATTGTTGAAGTGTTTTCCTAGGGAGATTAGTGTTATTAAAGACTCTGAGACAAGGAAAACTAAAAAAACATTAATGTTTACTTTAAAAGGTAAACAAGAATGAGACAGAATATCAGGAAAGTCTTATTTATTTTTCCCTAAACTGTGACTTTTGCCTGTTCCTTTTTTTCCCTTAAGAAATTGGTTGAGTTGGTTAATCGTTATGGAGCCAAGAACTGGTCTCGTTTGGCAGAAGAATTTCCAGGAAGGACACAGTATCAAATCAGATTCAGGTGTGTGGCTGATTGGCCAAACTCATTTGGTAGCGCCATCCAGAAACTAGGATTAATTAGATTTCGTCTTCCTTGAGGTTGGACCTGAGCCCAGTGATATTTAAGACCATAGTCACACGTGGCATATTAACTAGCATTTGTTTGATATTAGTATACACTCTTGGAGTAATCTAGATTTTATTGAGATGCTCAGGCAGGGATCTCACCGTGGCAACAATTGTATTAGAAAATGTAATTTCCCCAGCGATGTCTTAGATCCCCACAATAATCATTGTGTCTTTGTACATTTCTAAAAATGCAGGACCCGTTATGATAAACAGCTAGAAATTTCAAAATAAAATAAAAAATCATCACACCCTTTTCTCTTCCTTTTAACATGTTTCTAAAACATCCTTCCTGTAAATTTAATAAGACTTTTCTCACAGTTCCTACAATTTAAAAACATTTGTTAGTCTCCCATACTGAAGATCTCAGTGTTCCAGTTCATTGATTTGATGCTTGTAACATTTGAATAACATGTTTTTAATCCATTTTTAAGGCTTGTCATGACTGGGGGAAAATTGAAAATTGTGGAGTTGACTATATTCGTAGCTTGCTTGATTACTCTTTGTAGATGGGCAAACATTGACAATCCAAGCATCAAGACTGGCAGATGGGATTATGAGGAAACTGTTGCATTCATCAAGAAAATACAAGAATTTGGAGTTGGTGAGATTGTAGATCAATTGTACTACCCATAATTATAGTCAAACCTCATTAATAAGGGTGCTCTTAGTACAAGATTCTGCTTACAACAAGGAAATCTTTAGGTCTCAGTCCTTGTTTTCATTGCTGATAAGACAAGGTTCCTGGTATAACAAGGTACGTGTAATTTGCCAAGTAGGAAGGACCTCATGATAAAAGAAAAGAATAAACTTGTTTACAGATGCACGTCTTTCCACAGATGTAAAGTAAATGTTTTTGTTTGTCAGGATTTGTGGTTGCCAAAGTAAATCAATATTTTTTTATCATTGCACAGCCCCTAATGTGGCGCTTTTTGATTTTTCACCTCTAGTACCTTGCTGGTGCAATATCTGTATCTCAGATTTCCTTGAAAGTGAAATTTCATCAATCTCCCAATATTCTTCTCCAGCAATCTTGATTTTTACCCACCCACTACCTACGAAGTTTCAGTTTGGATTGGTTGTCCAATTTTCTTTTTTTAAGTGCCAAATTAAGTCTCCTAAAATGCTCCCCAGAATACGAAAATAATTTTCTTACAAGGATGTGTTTAGGTGTGCAAGTGGAGGTAATAATAATTTATTAGAATTTATCAACTTTAAAATATTTCTTAATTGTTTTGGGGGGGATTTTCTGAAATTGTTTCAAGTGCTCCATGTTAGGGAACACTCAGCTGAATTCTTGTCTTATTTCTGGATCTAACCGCTTCTGAATTTTGGACAAAATTTCATGACACTGAAATTGTTTGCAAAGGTCCAACAACGTGTTGTGAAGATTCTAATACCAGTATCTAACCAAATGAATTGGGGAAGTTTGGCAACACTAGGAAAGTCAAGTGAAAGTCGAAGTGCACCACAAAGGTGACTATACTGTAATTTTTTTCTGTAGGTAAATGGTCTCAAATTGCAGAAGCTCTGAAGGTGCCAGGAGAGAAGAACCGAACACCATTTTACCTTCTCCACCGCTTCAAAGTTGTGGTAAGACTGTATTCTCTTTTCTATCTTTGTTTATTTGTTTTATTTTTGAACTGAGTTTCAATTTAATAGAACAGTTTTATTGCAATACAGCTTTGTACTTTTTTGCAACTTAATGACAAGTTTAGCCTTGAACTACTTTAGAAAAACCTTTCCCTGGATGTTAAATGTACCATTGTATGTTGATTTGGTTACTGCATCAGGTAAGTTTTGTTTTCAGCAACACACTACCAAAAGTCAGTCAAACTGACTGGATGTCACAAGTATAAGAAATGATTGTTCTTCACTATTTATTTGGTTCAGTGCAAGCAGTACGTTATCTGGAAATCTACAACTCATGCTGAAGGTGACCATAAAATTGAAGAGGAGGATGTTTACAGTGGAAGATTTCTGCCTGATCTGTTGTCTTTCTTGGAAATGAAAGAGGTAATTCCTATTGTGAAAGAAAGAGCTGCATCCTGTGAGAGGGAAGAGTAGATATCCACCCCTAAGGGTATTAAGAGTAGATATTTGCCCCTAGGGGTACTAAGAGTAGATATTTGCCCCTAGGGGTACTAAGAGTAGATATCCGCCCCTAGGGGTACTAAGAGTAGATATTTGCCCCTAGGGGTACTAAGAGTAGATATCCGCCCCTAGGGGTACTAAGAGTAGATATCCGCCCCTAGGGGTACTAAGAGTAGATATTTGCCCCTAGGGGTACTAAGAGTAGATATTTGCCCCAGGGGTACTAAGAGTAGATATCCACCCCTAGGGGTACTAAGAGTAGATATCCACCCCTAGGGGTACTAAGAGAGGGCACGATATTCCGAGAAACAGAGGCTTCTTTGATGGGAGCTGCACATTGCTGGTTCATGAACAACTATGAAATACATGAGTTATGGTTGCATTGCAACCAACAACATAAATACTGCCCACTAACATGGCACTTCTCAACCAATGAGGGGTGTTTATACTGTATACTGAAGAGGGTATCCTTGAGTATAATTATAATGTAACTGACAAGGAAGTACGTTTTCGTGGAGTATGGAGCGTCAGTCGTTATTTTGAGCCATTTTGACAAATGCTTCAAGTATTGGAATTTTGCCAATGTGATGTTTTGTAGTGACCTTGTTGGAAAGTGATGGAAGTAATATTGCTCCTTTCTTCTCATTGCAATTAGAAATCCACAATCTTTTCTCTCATTTTGATAGAAAATGGAAGAGGAAAGCAAAAAGCAAAAAGCTAAACCAGTGCCTACTGTGAAAAAGCGCCTAGATACCAAGAGGAAACGAAGGAAAAGACCAAGACTAAATGACTTTGATACAGATGAAGAAGATGACGACGATGACCAAGTTGATACCAGTTGTGAGCCTCCTTGCCTAACAGCAAGACAGAAAGCTTTGGCACTGAAAAAGGGCAAATCTGTATCAGAGTCAACCACAAAGAGAAGAGGAGAAGCTAAAAATGATGGTGTCATGAGACAAAGGCCAAGACGTAAAACTGTAAAAGACATGGCCAGCAAAGAGCAAAAATCCTGTACATCAAGAGAAGAAGATGAAGAGGAGGGGTTGCCTAGAGATGAGGAGATGAGTGATGAGGTTGAGGCAGTAATTGAAAAGATCAGTGAAAAGCATGATGAGGATAGAGCATCTCGTGTTGACAATCCTTTAAGTATATCAGGGCCTAGAGGCTTAACAGGATGGTTGAAAAGACTCCAAGAAGACACTGCAAGACTGGCTGCTCAATCTAATGCTCAATTGGAGCAAAAGAAACAAGAACAACAGTTGGCACAGCAACGGGCAAACTTTAAAGAACAGGAGAACTCTACATTTGATGTGGAAACCAGCGTGAGATTAATTGATTTGAGGCGGCGTAGAGGGCGCAAGCAAATGACACCAGTTGATCATCAACTCATCAAAGCAGTGGATCCCATGTGGTTGTGTCGTAATGGAAACTCTGGTCGTCACACAAAACATAGTGTCAGAGGTAACATGAAACCAGCATTTTTGATCAGCTGTAATGAGATTTTGATCTCTAATATTGAAAAAAAAGAATTACCTGTAGGCAGAAAATCTTTCTGACTGGTGCACTATTACAAAAGAATGGTCAAACAATTAAGCAGTTTTACCATTTGGTCATTCATGGTTTCAACTTCTTTAGGCTGTCTTATTGATTTTTCTTCTTTGTATTTAGGAATCTCTATTCAGCTATACATACCCAAAAAGTATCCCTCTGTTGAATTACCGTCAACGTTTGAGACTTTTATTTCATTGCCAGATGGTAAATTAAGATGTTATTATATGAACAATTAAGTTTTTTACAACTGAAACATTTTGCCTTTCAGCACAAGAACGTACAAAACAAGAGAAGCTGTGTCGGGCTGATCAGAGAGCAATGTTTGGATTACTCCAAGAGGTATAAATAAAGAGTAGATTTGATAGACTCTGAATTAAAAACACCAACACTTGTGAAGGAGGTTTCTGAGCTCAATTCCACCTGTAGTTTACCTGTAATATCTGTCATTTGTATTCATCATTTATCTGTACATCTGTTTGATCATTCGTACTTCATGTTCTTTTATGTTCAGGTGTTTGATATTGATGTGGACTACTTATCAGCACTTGCTAGACAAAAACTTGTGATGTCCAGGAAACCTGACAAGAAAGAAAAACAGAATGCCGAAAGTCAGAAATCTCAGGAAGAATCTAGAGTAACAGGGAACCTTCATGTATCAAACAGCAGTCAGCTTGGCGTGACACCAACCAATCCAGCAGTATGCCATCAAAGTCCCAATACTGGTTTCGAAGGAATGTCTGCAAGTTCTCAAAGATTGATTGGGGACCCACAAACTCCGATAACTCACTCTCAGGGAGTGACTGCTAGATCCCCAAACTTGCTTGTTGGCCAACAAACAATGATTGCTGTCTCTCAAGGAGTGACTCAGTACCCTCAAAGATTGAGGGCTGGCCTTCAGACAGAGATAACTGGGCCCCAGAGAGTGGCAGCTAATTCTCAAGGAGTGACAGATGGCAATCAAGGAATGCTTGCTCAGCTTCAAACATTTATACCTGGAACACAAGGCATCACATTTGGCCCTCAAGGGCTAATGGCTGGCTTCCAGGCATTGAGCACTAGACATCAAGGAGTGACAAGACAGCCTGTAGTAATGATTGTACCTCAAGGAAAGACAACCTGCCCCAATATATTGATGACTAACCCACAAGGAGTGATCTCAAGTCCCCAGACATTATTTCTTAGCCCGCAAACACTGATTAGTGGCCCTCAGATACGGGCCCCTCATCCACAAGGATTGGCTGATGCCCAACAAGGAATGATCTCAAGTCCTCAGACAGTATTCTTTGGCTCTCAAACACAGATCAGTGGCCCTCAAATAAAGGCAACTCATCAACAAGGATTGACTAATGTCCCACGAGGAGTGGCTGCTGTTTTACAGGGAACCACGTGCCCTCAAACAATCCTTCAACATGTTACCCCTAGTACCAGGCGACAAAGTGATATCTTAAACTCCCAAATGATGACCACCTGTCCTCAAGCAATGGCTGCCAGGACACAAAATGTAACTTCTTGCCCACAAGTTGTGACTGTCAACCCACAAGGTGTGATCTTCAACCCACTAAGTGTAACTACCAACCCACAAGGTGTGACCATCAACCCACAAAGTGTAATCACAAACCCACAAAGTATAACTACCAACCCACGAGGTGTGACTGTCAACCCACAAGAAGTGACCATCAACCAGCAAGGAACAGCTTCTAGCCCACAAGATGTAATCACAAGCTCACAAAGAACGATCATTGGACTACAAAGAATGACCGCTATTGTGACCTCTGTCCCACAAACAGTGACCGTCAGCTCACAGGTAGTAACTTCCGGCCCACAGCCAACTGTCTCAGCTTCCTCGGGTTCTGTAGAATCTGCAGCATTTGTTGAATTGTCAAAAGATGACATATCCAAAAGAGTTCTTACCTTTGATAAGTCCAAATCTTCCCAAGAGGGTAAAGTTGGAGGTATATCTTGCCCACTCTCAGCTTCTGTCAAGGAAGTTGAAAATAAACAGGTGAGTAAAGTGTCAAGCCAGTGTGAAAATGGAGTAGAACAAGAAGTTGAGGGACAAAGACCTGGGCAAATTAAATCTGGAAAGAAACACGCAGGAGGTTTTCAAGCTACATCCTTGGATCCATCTTGGTGTTCCAGTCCTGGCAAAATGAGAAATAAAAGAAAAAAACGACTACAGCGGAAGAAACACACCAAGGACATACCGCTCCTTCCACCAAATATTGCTGCGCTTCAAGCTTTAGCATCACTGCTGCATGACCGTCCGAATCTTGAAAATCAACGTAAGCATTTCATTGCCAAATTTGAAAGGCAGCTGCAAAGGCAGGGAGGGAGAATTTGCTTCAGAGGTTATCTGGAGGGTCAAAATGCTGCACGAGCAGAGAAGAGTCCATCCAAAAAATCATCCACCCCTCAGCGATTAGATCCAAATTGCAGTATTACCCAAGATAGTGACTCGGATGTGTCATCACTGCTAACATCATCTGACAGCTCTATTCCATCGTACTCAAGCAGTCCAGGAGATAAAACTTCCCAACTAAATGTCTCGTCTCAGTTGCTTGAAGACTGTCTAGATACCTTACGGAAGTCAGATATGTATCAGGTTCTTCAGAAACGATTTCTGTCATTGTTTCTCTGGCCAGGACTTCTGTCTTCAACTCGAATAAAAGGCAGCCTCAGCACCAGCACTCAGAGCTGTTATGTTACGAAGCAGCCATTTGTGTATCAAGAGATAAAAAAGCGGTGTACCTCTTCAAATCCAAACCAACCAGTCAATAATTTTCCCACTCCCAAACGAGCTGATTTGAAAGAACATACTAACAAGTCACCTAGAAAAAAAGCTGACAAGACTGCCACTGCGTCTCAGGAAATGACAGCTCTTGGAGTTTCTCCTCAAGACACCTCTACAGTGTTTACTAACCCAGGAAACCAGAACGAAACTCAAGATGTTAATGACCATGGTTACTCTGATAGAACAGGAGTTAACAGGATACAGGATTTGCAGACAGCCACTTGTTGCCATGGAAATGAAGAGGTAGCAGATGTCATAGTTTTGTCAAGAGGACAAAAGAGGAAAAGCGGAGATGCACCCGAATCCTCGTGTAGTCATCTTAGTGAGCAGTTAAAAAATGAAAGACAATGTGATGCTACAAACTCCTCAACATGTAAAAGAAGGAAAGCTATGGAATGTGCCTGTGAAGATGGAGCATCCCAGAAAGCACCTTGAAAAACTGTCACATACTGAGAGGAATCTGTGTGCTGAAGCAGGTACAAATGTGTGTCAGTTGCAAAATGGATTCTTAATGGTTGAATGAGAATTAAACAATGCAGAGAGGCAAAGGAGGCTATTCATTGCCCCTACTTTTGATTAATAAGTGAAATTGGTCAAATATTAGATTTATGAAAAGTCCTGTTAGTTTTAGCTCACTTATTGGGTATGGTATGTTATCGTATATCAAAACTACATGAAAACAAAAATGCTTAAAACTCTTTTTTTTGGAGGCATTAAATTCTCGATGGAGCTGGCATGAATGTTGGTAACTACATGTATGTATTGGCACATGTAATAATTGTAATACCGAAAGTGTGCGGGGTACAAACTCTTGATGCATTGCATTCTTTTACATGCATTCTTGCTACTTGACATGCACACACATTCATGTCTCCTGCAGACTTGATAATGATCTTATTTCCACTTATACATATCAGGCTACAGACATTGTGGCAGGTGTAGGACTCGTTGATAAAACACATCTGGATACTGCCGCATGATTAAACTGTCTTCTTGTAAAGTTTAGAATTTTCTACATTTTTTGACTTCTTACATCTATGTGACTCCTTAGTTTTCAAGTTACTGAATACGTTTCTCCACTTCAAAACAATATGTTTTATGAATAAAGTCAGGAGTGCAATTGCAGTACTTGTACATCATACAGTAGTGCCCTTAAAGGTGACAGACTTACACGTACACATTGTACTGTTCATGAATAATTTAAGCACCCTCTGTGACCAAATAGATTAAGACATGCATTTGCAGGTTGAAATACATTGTATCTTTAATGTAATTTTCTTTAAGATGACAATGGTATCTACATGTGTCATTTGTCAAAGTACATGTACATGTATATTTTTCTTCAGTTGGTATCCTTGGGGCAAAAATGGTCATCCTTCTTTGGGTTTTGAATATTACATGTATGTACTAGGAAACATTTCAGGAAAGGTAAGTTTTGTCTGTGTCATCCATGTCCTTTCTTGCCAACTTTTCCTATCACATAGAAGTTTTTTGACAAACACATGAATTTGAAACACTGCCTGTCTTGAAGGTGTAAGAATTGGCAGTACCTTGTTTTTTTGTAAGCATCCAATTTAGAATATTTTTGGTTTATGCCGAGGTCAAGAGATACATTAAGCCAAAGAAGTAATGGAGTATACGTACATGTAGGTTTTCCTGGACAATTTTGGAATCTCTGTTCATGATTTAATAACAGAAGCTCTTGCTTTCTCTTTAACAAATGAATAATTCCTTTTCCATGGCCATTCCAGAGTAAGAAAAAAATATCATTTTCCTGAATGTGTATCAAATTAATTATATTGACAGTTTACTTTTGCTTGAAACGAAAGACACACAACGATTCCGTATTTCCTTTTAACTCTTCAGCTAATTTCACTTGAAGTTACACGTATTTAACGTATGTGTGTTCAAGTATTGGATTTCATTTATGTGTAAATAAAAATAACATTTGGAGTGTTTGAAAGATTAAATGTGTTTATATTTATGATGACTGATGAACTAAACCAAGTAGTCCTTGGAAGCATACCAACTGTTGTAATAAGCTCTTAAAACCTACCCTTCTTTGGTATTCATTAGCCACGATTGCATCATAAATGTATTGTCAAGTGTCACAGTTGGAATAATATTGGCTGCAAAAGAAGATTGGTTTTTATTTTGGTCAGATGTATACATTAATTACATTTCATTTGCCTGTGTTTCACATACATTTAGGCCTTTGAGTATGTCAGTACAAACATCATAGTGATTAATTAATAAATGAATCAATCAGAGTTGTATCATGATTTCTGTAGGCATGTAAACTTTATTCAAATTGCAAAATATGCAAATTTAAATGGAATGTTTAACAAATGAAAAAGGAAAGGTCTGTTCAGCCTGTGTCACAATACAAAACTGATTTCTGCAAAATGGATTGCATGGTTGTAATAACACGTCCATCAAACCAAAAGCCTTATATAAACTGTATTTGTAATTCTTTAAAAGGAATGTTATACACACTCACTAATTTGAATGATGCAAAATGAAAGTGAATGCTAGTTATTGCACAAATGAAACCAGGATTTATGTAGTTTTCAAATTCAAATGTAAAGTTGCTTGGGAAAACCTATCGTTAGAAAAAGAAAAAAATAATAAAATAAGACCTTTAATTTGGTCCAAGAAACAACCTTTTCTGATAGATTTTCTTTGTTGATACTATCTCTTTTGAGTCAGTAAAGATGTCTTTACTGTTTTTGCCAAGGTTGCCATTATCTTATCAGAACTTTCATTTAATGTATTCCAAAGAAGTGCACGACACCAAAAAGTAAGTTTTATATTCACCTAGTTAAGAAAGTTGCTGTTGGTTTCGATTTCAAAAGAATTTGCCAAACTTGATAAGAGTTGTTACCATGAAGGGTTTTTCAAAGCCAGAATCCTGACATTTTAGTGGCCCGTGTTTAGGTGAACATCGTTTTAATACTTCAAGTTTTTAATAAAATGTATATGTACATTGAGCAAAAATCACTGTAATCTGGCTTTGGAAAAGATATTACAGTTTAATACAGTATACATTTGCAAAGCTCACCTACCCCG